CATATTGGTGATTTGTCAACATCTCAATGGCAAAAGCTAAAAACAAAGCATATAACTTTGCCGTCGACGGCTCAGAAACGACATTAGCCCTTGTTTTCACAGTGTCTGGTTGTGCCCATTTACCACCATCACTGTCGTGGCACTGCCTTGTGTTGCTATCTCACATCACTCCCTTGGCCTTGTCACTGGTTTTCACCTTGTCACTAGTTTTCACCACCTTACTGGCATTTACTGCCTTGGCCTTGTCAATGGTTTTCACCTGTCACCAGTTTTCACTGTTTTACTCACATCACTAGCGGTAGCCTTTGCACCTGTTTTCTTGTCAGATGAGGCAGACTGGGATGTCTTCTTACATTCTTGGTACATTCCTCCTCAAAAAATTCTCGGAGGGTTCCCACTGCTCCAGTAATCGAGTGAGTGCTGCACCAAGTGACAGCCAGCGTGTCGACCATGATCATAAGTTTATGATGTGGGACTTCGTTAAATCTTAACTTGTTTGTGCTTTTGGAGAAATACCATGCAACTGACGCAAGAGGTCGTCAAACTCGAACGATCCTTGGAAAGCCTGTTGCCTTTTTGATGACTAAGTGCAGCAAGTGGCAAACACACCCAGACATGTGTACAGAATTGTTTTTGTCTCGAATGTACTTGATCACACTCTTTGTTTTTTCCTGTCATAACATTACAGTTATCACACACGATAGCCAGGCAGTTTTCCCATTTGATATCTCGTGCATGCAGTTCATCTTCAAGCAATTGAAATATATTTGCCCCTGTAGCAGACTCACTACACGTAGTTTGCCAAAACTCTGTTTTTACACTGTCAGTGTCATTATTCAAAACACGAACAACAATAGGAAAAATATTCTCATCCCGGCTTCCTGGCTACCAACCGTTCCTATAATAAAAGGTCCACTTCTCATAGCACTGGCTAAATTGTCGAGATATCATTTTGCACACGTGTTCACGATGGATGTATTTTGGTTCTACCACTGGCGTACTTTTGTGCAACCTTATCATGGGGGAACATTTTTCTAAACAATTTGCCAGCGTGGTCAGCCGCGCTCAACGGAATGTTATGTTCCACTAAGAAATGTGCAAATAAAGTTTCAGCTCTGATTACCTCCTGGTCCGTGTCTGGTGGAGAGAAAAAGCTAGAAATTTTGTGACAAGACTTGCTGGCGTTTTCAACATGTCGTCTGCTGTACCCAGCGAGCGAGAGAGAGAGGGAGAGCGAGCGAGAGAGAGAGAGAGAAAGAGAGAGAGAGAGACCGAGAGCAGAGCGAGAAAGAGAGAGAGACAGAGCGAGAGAGAGAGAGAGTACGGTAGATTGCGGGGTAGGGGCGGGGTGCGGGTTCCATACTGCTACGTTCCCGTGTTGGTCGGCCAAGCGACAACCCCCTATGGTCCGTGGAATGTTGCACCGTAATGATTCGAGCAGTGGCTGTTGGAGGCACCCGAGGTAGTTGCGTCGCGTGTGTTCTCTAGCCGGCTGGTACCGCGCTACTCACCCACAGGCATTCAGATTTATTACCCTTGATCGGAACGAGTTTGGGGTCTGTCCTCCGTTAGAGTATCAGAGTTTGCGCCGGATTCCGGAGTTTTTATTAGTAAAACTCCGGAATCCGCACCATTTAATGGTCGAGGGAGTGGTTTGTAAACTCCGACGTATTTCACGAGCTGGGGCTGATATGGTTTCAGACGGCTGGTATTGCTTGTGTTCACATGCTACGTGGCACGTGATGGGTGTGAGTTTCATGTCATTTCAGGTCAGAGAGTGACACGGCTAGTAAAGGATGGGTCCCTGAGAGAGTCCTGATTGTCCTGTAGTGGTAATGGGGAGAAAACGAAGTGAGTTGCACAAAGCACTGTGGTTGTGAATCGCCATGCACTCGTTTGAATTGACCGTGAGGGTCGAATGTTGTCGACGGTAGTAGTCTTGCGCCTGCGCAGACATGCACGGTTAAAAGCTAATGAGCGCCTTGCCCTTCTTGTTTACTGTTGCAGCCGTGCGGCAGATGTCCTGAGCGGGCATGGCGGCCGTCCCGGTTGGTGAGGAGGAGAAGAACCGGCCCCCGGGCATGAGCACCCGGACGCGAAATTTGTTTAGCCACGAGAGTTCCGGACCACAGCCAATCAGCGCACTCCTTTCACTCGACTTCCTCGAAGCAACAATGTGAAATAAATACCAGCTATCCCTAACCCGAACCCTAACCCAAACCCAAACCCGAACCCGAACCCTAACACTAACTATAATCCAACCATATATATACGAACCATATATTACAAAACACTATCTATGGTGGGTCCGGAGCTCACGTGGAAAAAAAATTTTGCCACCCGGACGGCGAAGCGGAGGCCCAGGAGACGGCGGCGGAGGTCATCGAGGACCTGATCGCGGATGTTCCGCCGGAGAGCCCGATGGAGCTGGACGAGGAGTGGACGAAGATGCCTTTCTCCGACGAGCTGCTGCTGTCGCCCCCGGCCTGGGAGGCAGCGCCGGCGGCAAAGAAGAAAGAGGCAAGGCAGCCGTCCGGAGGCAAGGCGTCAACGGACAGCCGGAAGCCGTCCGGAGGAGAGAGCTCTGGTCAGCCGTCCGGCGAGGGGGACACAGCCCCAAGAGGTGAGGCGGAAGCCGCGGTCGGCAAGAATCGTCCGGTGGCTGCTCCCCGAGCATCCACGAGCGTGGATTGGAGCGTCGTCCTGCTGGCTGCAACGGAGGCAGCCAGAAGGAATCAGGCGCCTGCGCCTGAGGTCGCCAGGAGACGGAGTCCGGTGCCAGCGACACGAGAGAGGCGACAGGAGTCACCTCGTCGCCACCACACCCAGAGAGAAGCTGGGCAAGACCGCGGGGGACAGGGGCGCGGATGGAAGACCACGAGGGTCACCTCTAGACCCTACCCTGGAGCGGCGAAGGGACGGGCAGAAGCCCATCCTAGGGGGAATCCGGTCCCACCTGCTATCCTGGTGAAGAGACCAGCTGGGCCTCTGTACCGGCAGAGGCATTCGCCCACCCGGGAGCAGCTTCGGCACGGGGCGGGTCCGGCATACACGCGCATCGGAGGGGCCGTCGTGATCGCTCCCCGTCTGCAGAACGGGCGGTGGTATTGGTGCCTTGCATGCCAGGTGCCCACCATGCACGCCGTAGATCACCACGCGGATCAACCATGCCTGCACCCTGACGTGGTGCCCGGTGCCTGGGTGCTTGAAAGCCGTGCCCAGCGCCGTGCTCTACCGGCTGGTGAGCCACCTGCAGACGACGCATCACCTTCGGCGCGAGCACCATCATGAGACGCCCGGGTGGATGCAGCAGCAAGGCGCCGACAACCCCGCACACCTGAAGTCGACGAGCGGGTACCTGGAGCTGGAGGAGGAGCAAGGTGAGGCCAGGAGAGTGGCGCCAGCGGCGGCATCACAAGCTCGCCCCATCACCCGGCCGGCCTGGAGAGACGGGCGGCCATATGCGGCAGTGGTGGCGGGTGTTTCGGCCAGACCTGTGGCCGCCCCCGGCCATCCCTGAAGCGGGAGGCGCCCATTGCTGCACCCCGGAGGCATAAGGTGCATGCCTTGGGGGCCGCAGCGCCCACAGCATCGAGGCGGCGGATGTCGCCCGACAGGTCGAGAGTCGGGGGAGCAAGTGCCGCCCGAAAGACCGGCGAGGAGCCGACCGTTGCCCGCTGCGGAAGGACGAGCACCCTCGTCCGCACCCGAGGTGACGCCCACGACGACCTCGCATGCGAGGCATGCGCCGATGGGAGTGGAGGCACCGCAGGACGATGCGCGCACTAAAGGCGCCTGGGGCACCCCCTGAGGACCCCATTCCGAGCATCACCACGGCGGAGTTTTATGAGTTCCTGGGGATGCTCTTCCAGCCCCCAGCCGACCTTCCGGCGTGGGATTGCCCGGGTCTGAGCGACCCGGATGGCGGGCCAGCCTTCGACAAGCTGGAGCGCATGAGAGTCCGCCAGCTGCGCCGGACACTTTCCTGGAGCAGGGCCCAGGACGGCGCATCGAGAGCCTGGAGAGGCGCGCCCACGAACTCCTGGAGGTGAGGACCCGCACTGTCCTGCGGTCAATGGTGATCGCGGGCCAGGAGATATAATAAACAGCTGACATGCTGTGTGTGAGTCGGGAGTGACACAGCTGAGTTCGTCTCGGGCGTTTAGCGAGGTAACACTCGAGTTCGTCTCGGGAGTCGAGTGAGGTAGGCCTCGCAGCATGTAGCTAGTTCACTCTGTATGAGCATAGAGTGGCGAGGCCGGTTGAGTTGTGTGTGGAGACTGGAGACTATGGTGACGCTAGCGTACGTGTACTGGTGGTACAGTACCGTATGGTCACCGGTGTTCGACGTGGCTTGTGGGTGAGACCCCGCCGAGAGACAGCCATGGTTAAGAGCTTCGGTCGGTGAGTAGGCACCGTTGTATTGTCCTGTTGTTGTGGGGCAAGTGAATAATACAGTGAGTAGAGTATTAAATGGACTCCTAAAATAGTAGAGAGGGGAGTGCCAACTCTACACGTGTAGGATAGAAACTGGCCTACGCTGCTTGCGGCCGTGCAGTAGAGAGCCTGCCGGTTATTTAGCCCTTTGTCTGGCTACGCCTATATCTGTATAGCCTTTGTTTATACACCGGGTTGACATTTATTACAAGACGTAACGTAAAGCCAGCAGAGCAGGGTGGGGGCCCCGTTGTCATGTTTGTGGTGTGTCGTCCCTCGTCCGGCATTGTTGACTAACCACGCTATTGCACCAGAGCCGGAACGAACGCTGGGTTGGGTACTACGGAGTGAGCGCAGTAGCACTGAGGCGCTCTACCAGATATTGTACAGTAACATGGGAGATGGTTTTGTACCGAGCTGTATATGGACACTTGACCTCCATTATGAGGTCGTCGCTAATTATTCGGTCTGGTTATGCTGCCAGTTGTGGACGTATCTGACTGACAAAGATCCCACATTCATATGATTTCATCTGCCACTTGGCCTCAAAATTTTCTACAGCTACAGCTTCATACTTTCGACCATGCAGTGTAGGCGCTGTTTTGAGTTCTTGAAAAGACGTCACTGTGCGTGCAAGTTTGACCAAATCTCTCCGCTCTGTAGCTTTGCACAGTGTACCAAACGATAATGATGTGATGTGGTATTGACGAACTTGTTGCCACTGTTTGTTTCCGGCTTGACCACGAGTTGCTGCTTCCAAATTTGTAATCTGCTCATCAGTGATCACAGAAATCTGCAACATACATAAATATTAATCTGTATTAACTGTGATTGATTGAATGAAATGGTGTTAGCCGTTAGGCCACTTTTATTCAGACAAGAAAAAAAAAAAAATTAAATTTTTCAATTTTTATGTTTCCTCCGACCTCAATAAGTCCCACTTTTTTGGAATAATATGATCTGACAATATGTCAGGATAACCTTTTTTTAGAATGTATACATGTGTTTTATTACTGATAAAAAACCCGAAAAAACAGGTACATGAACCAATATTCTAATTCAGTCTGGCCTTCTATATTCTGACAACTCATTCGTTATACCACTCCGGAGTTTGTGGTTTTTTGGGGTTTTTTTCCTTCCAACCCGATTAAAAAAAATTCGATAAACAAGAAGTAAACAAAACGTGGTCCAAGAAAAATTAAATGGACACAATATTCCAACATATCATGTTATCCTTCAGGAATTTGTCCCGTGGACAGAGATCCAAGTAATCATGGTCACAAGCAACAGCATAAGGATTAGCAGGAGGAAACAGGTGCATCACTGGCATCGGATTTTTTCCCTGAAATATGAATCATTTGGCACATTTCTCTGTCGTATTGAAAAATATAATTATATAAAATATAGAGTTAAACAAGTCATTCGTGTACGATTTAATAATTATTTCGTGGATATCACCTGTTTCAGCAGTTTAGGTATCCGAACATTATGTATTTTATACACTACCAGTGATTAGTTATATACTGTCTGTGGTATATTTTTCTTATTAACATAACAGTTCCGTTAACTCACCTTGTGCATGTAGTTCAGACATACGTATTGCGAAATCTATTCGTGCTGTTCACAGAGTTTCGCATGTGCCGTGGTCTTGGATCAAACACTAAAGAGCTTCCCTCTTTACCACGGATTGCCTCAAAATCGTCGCTCTTCATAGGACTTCCCTTGTAAACTTTTGCTTTGTGAAAAGTCTGGAGAACCTGTGTCAGATGAAAAATAATGTACTTTTAAGTAAAAAAAAGTAAAATATAATAAATTACAACAAATATACATACTCAAACTAAAAAAATATTCAACCAATCCTATACACTCTGTTGATACTTGTGTATTTTATATATATGAATGGGGAAACAGGCAAATATTGTATATTGTACTTACCTGAGTACATGTTAATTCCGTTAGAATAGAGCCAGCATTTCGGAAAGAAGTGAGCCCAAATAACACGGCTGCAATATGCTTGCAGTGTGCCGTGGGACCCTGCCCGGCTCCACACTCGCATTGTCCCTCTTCAATGACAGCTTCTTTGTCAATGCAGATGTCAACCTGAAAGCATTTTCACAAACAAATAATTTGCTGAATTTCAGTGCACTGTGATTCATTCCAGAATTAATAAATAAATAAAAAAACATACATAAATTATCTGTAGAATGCGAGGAAAACTGTATTAAAATCAAACCTTATATGATGCCATTTTTTTCATCTCTGCCCAGACAACTGCTGACACATGTCTTTCCGACCTTTTCCACTTGTGCAACTCTGAGACACCTCAAAAATCTGTGTATTAAACATGAAATTGCAATGAAGACAGGCTTAATAGCCTGGCCAGGCT